GGACAGCATGTAATGCCACAGAATGTCGAAGGCACGTTTGAGCTAAGGAAGAGAAAAATTACTGAAATTCGGACCTACCCTTCCCCTCCCCCCTCTAGAAGGCTCCACCAACACAACCCCTCCAACGGTTGATGTTCTCCATAACGTCGTTGAACCTGATCAATTTTGACACGCTTCACAACTACATGCTAATTTTGAAAGGTGCGCGGGAGGAGGGTGAGGGGAGGGGGGTGAGGGGGACGTTATGTTAACATAACTGCTGGCAAAATTTCAGAATTTCTCCGAATTTCGCGAAAAAAAGCCACAGGAATCTGCTTCTTCCCATAATTCTATGAGAAAACGACCCCTTTCCTGGAAGTACAATCACCTTCTTAGGATCACAAAATATGCCCCCCCCCCTACTTGATGTAAAATCCTAACGGGCGCTTGTTTCTCTTTGCAACTCATCTTCGATACATTCAACCTACAGCGAGTAGCGGACGAGTTCCGCATTTATGTGGTAATGCGAGAACTTCGTATGTGTAACAGAGAAAGCACGCATTAAAAAATACTTGTTAACATAACCAAGTTGCTCACGCTACATAACCTCTGCTTGCGTAAACCAAATGCGCGTCGAGTGCAGACCATACACAGCAAGTGACGACGGCGTCAAGTAAATCTGATTACTCGTGATTCATAGTGGTGGTTGATAAATGCTAAGTGATAGCTGTAATTAGTGACACTGATAGAACACAACTGCATACGGCTAATAACTTCATTGACGAATAACATTAACATTTTTTGGACCCGTCGTCACTTGTGGTGTGTGGTCTGCACTCGACGCGCATCTGGTTTTCAGAAGGAGAGGATACAATCAATCTTCGGAATTCTGATGGAATCACAGTCTTTAAATTTAATTTACGTTCTCTTCTTTCCGATTAAGACACTTACTGGTGGATTAGTAAACGAACAGTCGCATAAAGAGAGCGAACGCTATTTGAAGAGACCCGCGCTCTGCACGGATTATTCGTCGGACATGATTATGCATGGGCAAAATCCTGGCAAAACATAATGTAAAACGGTTTCCAAAATTTGGCGTGAACATTAAAAAAGAGTGCAAGGGCCTCGGGTAACAGTGACAATCCTTCTCTCTGAAAAATAATTACGAAAATGCCTCAGAAAAAAATGAAAATTTCCAATAGGCAGTAGGAATTACTTAAAATGTAGGAAGGTCAACTGCCCTGAAGTCGAAAGGGAGTGCACCTCTCCCTTAGCAACTAGCGAGCGGCCATAGCTTCGGCTACAATCACTTGTTTGAAACCTCACCACACTTCGCAAGCGCAATACTTCACGTGGTCCAGACATATGTGTGAACTACAGCTATACATCTATGTCGTACTGTAAGTGCTCGATGGATACCATATAGTCATCTAGGGGTGTTTGGCGCACCCCAAAATGAAAGCATTATGCGAAGTGGTCCGGTATCGAGGAAAAATGGACAGTAAACCGCCGAAAACGCTGAAATCGTGACTTGCCTACTCTTGTGCTAAGGCAGTGAGAGATTGCGCATGGAGGAGAAAGTACGAGGTGAGAGAGACGTTGAATGAGAGAGCACAGGCACTAGCATGCTGTCGATGAGAAGAAATGGAAGCGGATGAAGCGATTTTCCCAAGGCTCTAGCGCCCTTTTGTGCATTTTGAAGTGACATCAGCGACCTTCGTGAACAGATCTATCGTGCTCACCAACAGGATTCATCCCTCATCTCATCCTGAAGTGTGCCTTTAATATTTCGGTCATTCCACGGTCTAACCATCAGCAAGGCTGGAAATTCTACCCCTCTAGGAAAGTGCCTGGATAGGCTCTCCTAATCGAGGCGTTAGGAATGGTGAAGCGACATATTACCTCTAAGAGGTGAAAAGTGTATATATCAACAAAGGGAAGATGCCCAAATAATTTGAAAAGTCACTTCAATCCAGTGTCTTCCTTTTGTGGGATCGTTGTGCTCCTTGAATACCTACTAACTTTACGGGTCTATCTAAGGGTGAAGTTCAGAGATTCAACTCCTTCATGGAAGTGAAGAGCTTTCCTTGTATATTTTCATATATTTTCACAATCGAAGGAGGTCTCAAAAATAGCTAGATGTTCCAGGCAGTTCGAATTAGTAGGGATGAAATGGTGACCCTTCAAGGCTCCATTGAGCGTTAGGTAACCGGAGGAAAATAGACTTAACTCTCTCGTTGAAAACTGCGATAGGGACATCTAACAGTTGTCTTTTGCGCAAAATTTAACCGGGCAAAATTCTACACGTCGGAACATTCACAAATGTATTCCTTCATCACGCGAGAGCGCGCGGTAATCCAGTTCCAAATTGCATTACAAGTTGGCTGCTCGCATCCTCTGATTCAATTCACGTAGAGCTTTCGATTACTCGTTGGCTTGGATAGCACTTTATTGTCATGACCCTCAGCAACTTGGCCGGGAAACAATTTTCTAAAAACGTTCGAGCGATCAACAATTCCAGTAGTGTGTCCCTTTCTTGTCAGTAGGAACTTTCAGTTTCGAGTTTCTAACTCGTTTGACACGCTGGCGAGCAGATGATTTCACAAGTGTCCGTCGCGTGGGATATGTACTTTAAAGTAGACCAGCTCCAATAATTGCTGGTTCAGAGTGAGAGTGCTAGGCGCATTAGGGTGACAGAAAAAACCACAGCTCCAGAAATGCAGAAAACCTCACCATTGCCTCTCACTGAATATAGGTCACCTCTTCAAGACGTGTCACTATTAAAGGCAAACCCCGGGATCAGCCCTACTAGTAGGAGAGATAACACGAGGGAATTTCTAGGGTTCATACCTACCTAGATCACTCCAGCTTCGTCGCTAGAATTGCGCGGTTAGGGCGCCAATCCTTACGGGCCTGCAAATATAGACCCCGATTCCAACGCTTCCCACCCACCGCGGGATATGGTGAGATCAGCATGCATCGATGTAGAGATCAGCGTGCTCTCTCGAACACGTGCTCTCTCGCGAATTTTGTCTTCTTTGAACACCCTGTCTCGCCGTCGTATCACATTCACCCTTACTGAAGGTTTAAGGCCTTAGTTTCAGCGTTCTCAAAGAACTCTCTTGCATTCCTTCCCATTTTCGTTCCGCAGCATACCAGGAAGGTCTTTCAGGACGTGACGAGCTTTTTGAAAACGGTCTTTTGCATGATATAGGGGCAGATGCGAGGACCACGGAACCATGTTTGATTTTTTCCTGAACGGCCCTCTGAATATCAGAAAAGGGGTTCCCTAGTTCGATTCCTCTTGGTAACAAATTTTTGCATTTCGAGTTGAAGTTTCAAAATTAGCGCAAAATGGAGCTCTGATTGTTCTGGTTGGTACTAGTTCCATTTTGCGCGAATTTTGGCACGTCAACTCGAAATGCAAAAATTTCTTACTAAGAGGAATCGAACTAGGGAACCCCTTTTCTGATATTCAGAGGGCCGTTCAGGAAAAGTTGAACATGGTTCTGTGGTTCCCGCATCTGCCCCTATATCATGTAAAAGACCGTTTTCAAAAAGCCTGTCACGCTCTGAAAGACCTTCCTAGTTCGCTACCACCACGAAGCGCTAATAGCATCAGTTTAATCCCGGGGTTCGCTTTAACGAAGGTTTGCGTCGATTTACCAAACTTGTGGAATTATACTAGTATGTGCTTGAGTCTTACGAGCTCACTCTATAACCACAAGATGTCACTATTTCGATCAAAAATAAAGGGGGAATGCTTCATAGAGAATTACACAATAAAGTTGGAGGTCGAAGAGGGGGAAATGTAACTTGTTGAGAAGTAAGTGGGCTTTCTAAGGGTGCGAGACGATGCGCATTTCGCATAGTGTGCCCAAGCGGCCCAGCAGGGCCATATCTGGGTCACTGCCCGACCAGCCTCTCGCCGTCTGACTATAGCCATTTAGTGGAGAGAGCATTAGCATTGGAGAGGGCAGCACTGAGGAGAATCGCATAAGCGCAAAAATCAGCAGTGAAGAAAGAGGCCCCGATTCTTGGGTTCGGGGCTGTTTCTCATGGTTTTTTTCTCATCTCTGCACACATAACTACATCTACCTTGGCTTCTAATGGGCTGTCCCTCCAGCCATTTGGAAAACTTTATTAGCGTTTCTTTGCTATGACTCAATCTCTATTTTTTTGCTCTACAAATAACTCATACTTGTGAAAGCTCTTAGTGTTTCATATTATAAGGCTCGAATATTTCAGGAAATCCTATATTTGGATACCCGAGTCCATCAAAGTACCTGAGGAAAGACATTAGCGAATGCCACTCGCTGTAATTATTCATAACAGGAAGGGAAAGGCTTCCACGGAAAGTACTTAGCAAGTCATTGCACTCATATCTTATTCTGGTTTTGCCTCGTGCTCGATTGCGAAGCAATCTTAATTAAGCACGAATCTTATTCTGAAGTAGTATTGGAGGATTACTGTGTTTCTCACACAATGCCTGCCATTTCTATGTTTATTTCTAACCCTTGAGCCGATTTTGACATTGTCAGCATTGAACTTAATTGCAGTTACGAACTTGAAAACAGCAAAAACTAAACAAATTGTGATCATTGCTGGATAACACTTCTACATCATGCAAAAGACACTATAGATGTAATACACTGGGAATCGGTGGCATAGCAGCTCAGAAAGCAAAAGGTTCGAGTTCGGTTTCCGCTTCGTACGAAGTGTTTTGACCATTCACGAAGGAGCAATATTATGCAAAGACCGCCAAAAGCAGCAGCTAACAGATGAGTACTGCTAAAGTACCCTTTAAAAGTCCCTCACTGTGACCTTCAATTTTGAGCTCTTGTTTATGAGCAAAATATCATACTAAAAAAAACCCACTAGAAGTTTTTACTAGAGTCCCCACTGAAAATGCTTAGCATTTATATGGAAGGTGTCCAGTAAGGAATCATTAATTCTCGACATTTTTCTTGTTGCTATTGCTACATATTACTGTTTTCGCAGTGGGTTTATAGGACGAATTCACGATGAAAAAACAACCCATTTCAAATTAACCTAAGGATGGTGAGTGGTACACAAAAGAAGGAAGAACCATGAGAAACGGCTCAGAACCCGAGAAGTGGGACCCCTTCCTTGCCCGTTGATTCGAGCATTGATGTGACTCTCATAGCTGTGCCCTCTTTAACACTACGCTCTCTCAGCTATCTAATCACGTATTGAACTAGGGCGAGTGATCGATGATCGGTGGGCGGAGATCGCCGGACATGCCAGCTTTGAGGCATGATAGGTTGCTGAGGTCAAATTTTTCCATGCGAATTGCGCGCCAGTTGGCTAGCAAAGAGCAAAAATTCAGATGACGTTTTGTAGTTAGTATATCTACTTTACTTAGCTCGTGTAAAAAGGGAGCAGGGGATATTCTTTCCAAACGTGAACAACTTCGGTATGAGCTTTTTTTTCCGAAGCAGCTGAGTAAAAAAGCTAGCATTTATATAAAAAAGTGATAAAGCAATGGAGGCTGTTGAAATGCTGGGAGGGGTTTTCTGTCCATTTCTCTATTGCTACAGTAATTTTAATTGTTGGAAGCAAAGACTTTGAAGGCGGAGTTTACGACGAAAATAGAGCCTTTCAGGAATCAGGGTAGAGGTGGTCAATGATGCAGGGTTGAAAAAAACTAAAAGGATTTCCCGCTCTTCGACGTCGGACGTTGTCGTGAAATCCTTCTTTGACCAATGTCAGAAATTGCGAATCCAGCATTCGCTAGCAAATTGCTGGATACGAGCGTTGCACCAGCGAGTCGAGCTGTGTACCAGCGGACGAACTATGTACCAGCTAAAAGATGTATCAGCGACTCGACATTGTTCAAAAGTGGCGAGATCCAACGTTCAAAGGAAGTTCCGCAACTTTCAAACAGTATGTTGAAGTGTACCTCCTTTAAAGTTGGGTCCCGCCACTTTCGAACAGCGTCGAGTCGCCGATACATTCTTCAATCCGCTGGTACACGGCTCGACTGGCTGGTGCAACGCTCGTCGCAAAGTCTGACATAGGCCTTTGAGACGGCATCGGACTGGATATATCTGTATGAAATCAAACTTTGAAGCGCAGAGTGGTGGTACAATTGTAATCACTCCCTCACTGAAAGCAAATGAGATGGTGGTGAAGTCGCTTGGTGACGAAGGGAAAGCTAAGGGTCGGAAACGAAAGAAGTGGGACCGCCAATCTGCCCGTTAATTTCCGCTTGGCGAGTCAGCATCCTAGGCGAAGATCGTTTGTATGTGTTAACCCCAATAGCCAGCATCATGAAATAGACATAGTCCTTTGATTAACATAATACATTCATAGACAAACTGAGATGCGGCTGTTGGAGTAACATGAAAGCGAAAAGGAAACAATAACGATGACACTACCGACATCCGCTGAGCTTCGTTATTATTTAGACCATTCGATGGGGTGGGGGGAAGGGTACCAAAAAGGGTCAACCGTCACGTTGGACAAATTTTTTCAAAAATTTAACGATCCTCCCTGTGGAGGGCCTCGATACATCCCCCCTCCAGCCCCAGCTGTTACTTTAGTATTTTTCTAAGACAGCGCGTGACACAGCCCAACTCCGCCCACCCCCCACATTTCCTCCGAAATAGCCGTCTAGCGAGTTGGGAGGGGGATATCAACAGTGACACGACAAATGTTTTTCTTAGCAGTCATAAAACGTAAAGCGTTACACTACGACCCCCCCCCCCCGTTGATGTAGGATTACGCTGCCTGCCTCCGACCGACCTTGCGAATACGACCTCCCTCTTTCCGTCGGCCCAATACGACCCCCATCGCTGGACTTTGTCCAACGGACCCTGGTACCAAGGCTGAGGCACTACTGACGCCCTTAGTCGTTTCTTTAGGGATCCATCCTCCACTCACTGTAAGCATACCGTATTTATCACATTGACAACAGTGAGGGACAACATGTCCCACTATTTCATAAGCAGGAAACTTGTTTCAACCCTTTCGGCCGGCACATTCAAATTGTTTCGACATAAGCTTAAAAAATAAGAAGGTAGAGCATTTTTCAAAACTTCTTATTTTCTTTGTTTGTGATCGAATAGCTTCCAAATTTCGCCATAACGATACCTACATGCTCACAAGTAATAAACAATGGCTGGAAGAAAAATTTCTCTACTGGGAAAAATTCAGATCCGAAAGGGTTAATCAAATTGTGCCTCCATATTCACATGTACTTGAACTAGCCGAAGGTTATTATATTATCGGATACGTAGATTTGTTAGCATTAATGAAGTTTTTGATGAAGTAATAACTATTGAAAAAATGTAAAAAAAAAAGCCGGGCAAATGACACACACGGGGGGTTGTCAATATGTTATTGAGTGCAGAATCGGGAGAGGAGAGGTCAAATGGTCTTATACAGAACATTGAGAGGGGGACAAGTGGGCTCGAAGAAGGCAAAAAGACTTGTGTAAAGCTTGCAGGTATAAGATTAGCACAGGAAAAATTTGCATGGGCTTACTGCTCTGAAGAGTTGGGTGGGTGTTTGTGAATACATAGAAGGTCTGCTTGTTTGAAAAGAACGAAGTTAATATTAATAATAACGAATGAGGGATATCAAAACTAAGAACCAAGGAAAATCATTAGTAGGACAGGGTAGATATTCGGCCCTTGGGAATTAGCCGTGGTGCAAGGTTTAATCCCAGATTAGGAAGTCGAGCAGTCAGTCAGACGCGAACGGCAACAGTACAATTTGAGAAGTCACAATGGGTTGCGCAATTTGCTTTTTATGAATGCATCGCCTTTTCAGTGCTGAGTCAAATAGCATTACTTTTCTGAGATTTCCTTTCAGAAGAAAAGTGAATTTTGCTCACCAACAAGGGTTCCAAATTGACAGGCGCTGGCAGGAATGGGCTTGAAAGGATACTATATTTAGTTCCACAAAAAAAAACGCGTACGCTGAGGAACAGCCACAACCCTCTTCCAGTTTTGTTATTTCAATTTGAGACAGCTACTTCTTTTAAAATTGGACTCTCCAAAATTCAATTAAAGGCTCTTCTTGGGATCGAATTGGTGTGTTATTTTGTTCGAAAATCAGACAAAAAGTGAGAGGAGCATTAAAGAGAAGAAAAACGCAAAAAGCAGCTCTAAAATACCTAAATTTCCCTTTTGTGGGGTCGTCCGTTTCATGACGGCGAGACACAGCGCGGGAAAGCGCAAGCGAGCACGTCGGACGAGAGAGAGCGCAAACGCCGCGTACGCCGCGACTGATAGACGGCAGCGATCGCAGCTGTCGAGCAAACGTATCAGCCCCCTTGTCGCCACTTGCGAGTCGCGACTTTGTAACCACCGCTTTGACTAATGGTCCTACTACCTCGCTCGGGGAAAAATTATTCACGAATCTAATCCGCGTCTTAGAAGGTACGCAAAAACCTGCTGCATGCATTCCTTGAAAGCCTCTTCGCTCTGGTTTCAATTATGGCGAGCAATGCTCACTAACGAGTCCCTCAGGTAATTCGATGGGATCAGGTATTTGAAAACAGCATTTTTCAGAATATTAGAGAGCTTTCGTTCGAAACTAGGTGAATTCAGTGAGAGGCATCACCTTCTAAGAAGGAAATGAAATGGAAATCAAATTATTGCAAAAAGAGCAATTTTTGCATTCTGCTGCAGAATAATGGAGGCTATAGCTATGTGAAGTGGGCTTTGTAAAGAGAATAGAAGAACGAAATGAAGCTTCAATAATACTGAATTTAAAGAAGGAGCAAAAGGAGTAAATGAGAGGGCAAAGAGGGAGTGGGATACAGGTAGACTTCAGCGTTAACCAACTGCGAGGATTAACCGCCAACACAGGTATCGAAGATTTAGGGGCTTTATTTCACATTATTAGCAGTGAACAACACATTTAGACCTTTGAGGATAGCTCTATCATAATTGAGGATGGGGATGATCCAGTTAGCTCAGTCGCGTAATATTGGCTTAATAATATTTCCTCAGAGGAATCCTTCGTGGAAAATTATTGCATTTTTTCTTAACATGAATTCGTTAGCTGTGATCACTGGAAACAGCACACGAAGTTTCGTGCATGAAGATTCAGTTCCCGAAGAGAAACAAACTTACAAAAACTACACTCTATGGATCGAAGACAAATTGCGCGGAGCCAAAAGCGGGGCATGGAAGGAAGTCCACCTTGGGGCAGCTACGCAGCAGGCGACGCAACGAAAGAATTGGGTTGAAGCGTGCGATTTTGAAGAGTAGAGACAAATCGATCGATAGAATAGGATTGAGTAGAGGTGTGAAATAATTGGAATAAATAAAAGGTCAAACGCAGTTTCTAGTGAAGACACTCCAACACCAAGCGGGAGCATTCCTGTCGCCAGCAGTTGTGACAGATGTGCGGCGGTACTTTGAACGCGTAGCAGTTTCTTCGGTAATACGAATTTTTCACGGGAACATATGCAATTTTTCCGCGCTTTTCATTCTTCAAAGCAACAATCCAGGAACGAATTCGCAGGTAAGGACCACCTATAATGACGTTGCAGGTGAGAAGTCGGTCAATGGAGAAAGAAAAAGGGTGCT